ACCAGTGACGTTGTCTGTGGGAGAACATCAAGTCAACATTACTTTGTGTTTTTACCTTTTTTGCTTTGCTCAGTAGCATTTACTAGCCTTGTGACAGGTTAGTGCATCGTCTGCATTGTGTTGACTTTTCAGTTTAAAGCCTTAACAACACAGTGTTGCCTTTTTATTATTGCTTAGGGATTTTTTTTCCTGCTGTAACACTAATTTTCTTTGAGTACCAATAAACCAAAGAAAAAGAAGGATAGAAAAAAAATATTTTTACAAAGAAAATTGAATTCACTAACCATGAGTTTATTTATATCATTAATAGACTTTTAGCTGGGAAGGCCAGAAGACCCAGCACTGACAACTGAACAGGTGCTTTTGGATCACGGTGTTGTTCCAAAAGGTGATTTCTGATGTTTCTGTATGTATCTGTAATGTCTTTGTTTATATTGGAAGGTAGACTGCAGTCAAAACGATTTATGAAGGAGTTGTATATAAAATAAAGAAACTACCTGTTTTGCAAATGCGTTATTGTACCCAAATTATAATCAGTCTGGTTGTTGGCCACTTAAAATGTCTAAAAAACTATTATGTTATATATTTGTTGCAATTTCTGCCTCTTGACACAACATCTCTTAAAAAGACATTTTTAATGTCAATGAGGTTTTTTAACCGGATCCATGAAGCATATAAAAAAGACACTTTGTCAAAAACTGATTGCAGCTTCTACCTTGTGGAAAAAATGTTGTTTATGGTTCAAAATGACTCGATATCATTCATGATGGAAACGTTTGACATAATTTTTTTACACATTATAGGCCAACGGGTCATTAATGACAGTTTAAATGGGGGCAATAACATTTTTGGAAAATACTGAAAATCACTTTTTTGGCACCACAACTATCCATAGAAAACAAATGTATCCAAAGTCAGAGGCTGTATTCACGAAGTGTAATTTAGTCACAAAGGACTGAGATGTAGAGTATCACATTAAACGGTGCAGAAATGTAATGTATCCTCTGTACTGTGTGTGCTGATGGGCTTTGGTCTGAAGGAAAAGAGTTCATGTACAGCAACATCAGATAAAGTCTGTGGAGGGACTTTACTGAATCTGAAGGAGTCCACTGCATGAAGACACAGAAACACAGAAGCTGTAAACCAGGACACATCAGCCAGAACAGTTGATTTTCTTGCTATAATACATACCGGAGTACCAGATTGATACAAACATGTAATGTAATTATAAATATTGATAAATCATACAATTCTGTTCAGTCTTGTATAAAGTTATTAAAATCTCAAACTAACAGATTTGATGGCTGTTATGATGTATTTGGTTGATGCTGAAACTGT